CGGGGGTCCCAGGGGTCACCCGGGGGTCACTCGGGGGTCACCCGGGGGTCAGCGGTCACTCACCGTGCAGCAGTGGTTGATGAACCGCGCCAGGTTCCCGCACTTGGTGGCGTCGATGATGGTGTCGTGATCGACCCGGAACAGGTAACTGCTGCCGATGCCCTGCTGGGCATAGCGCTTCTCCCGCATGTCTGCCACCACCTGAGTGACCACAGTGACCACTGAGTGACCACTGAGTGACCACTGAGTGACCACAGTGACCACTGAGTGACCACAGTGACCACAGTGACCACAGTGACCACAGTGACCACACACTGATCACAGGTCACTGCTGCCGATCCCCTGCTGGGCATAGCGCTTCTCCCGCATGTCTGCCACCACCTGAGTGACCACAGTGACCACTGAGTGACCACTGAGTGACCACTGAGTGACCACAGTGACCACAGTGACCACAGTGACCACAGTGACCACTGAGTGACCACAGTGACCACTGAGTGACCACTGAGTGACCACTGAGTGACCACAGTGACCACAGTGACCACAGTGACCACAGTGACCACTGAGTGACCACAGTGACCACAGTGACCACAGTGACCACACACTGATCACAGGTCACTGCTGCCGATGCCCTGCTGGGCATAGCGCTTCTCCCGCATGTCTGCCACCACCTGAGTGACCACAGTGACCACTGAGTGACCACTGAGTGACCACTGAGTGACCACAGTGACCACAGTGACCACAGTGACCACAGTGACCACTGAGTGACCACTGAGTGACCACTGAGTGACACCTGAGTGACCACAGTGACCACTGAGTGACCACTGAGTGACCACTGAGTGACCACAGTGACCACAGTGACCACAGTGACCACAGTGACCACTGAGTGACCACTGAGTGACCACTGAGTGACCACAGTGACCACAGTGACCTGAGTGACCACAGTGACCACTGAGTGACCACTGAGTGACCACAGTGACCACAGTGACCACTGAGTGACCACAGTGACCACAGTGACCACACACTGATCACAGGTCACTGCTGCCGATGCCCTGCTGGGCATAGCGCTTCTCCCGCATGTCTGCCACCACCTGAGTGACCACACAGTGACCACTGAGTGACCACTGAGTGACCACTGAGTGACCACTGAGTGACCACAGTGACCACAGTGACCACTGAGTGACCACTGAGTGACCACTGAGTGACCACTGAGTGGCCACAGTGACCACTGAGTGACCACAGTGACCACAGTGACCACAGTGACCACTGAGTGACCACAGTGACCACTGAGTGACCACTGAGTGACCACTGAGTGACCACTGAGTGACCACAGTGACCACTGAGTGACCACTGAGTGACCACAGTGACCACAGTGACCACTGAGTGACCAGAGTGACCACTGAGTGACCACTGAGTGACCACTGAGTGACCACAGTGACCACTGAGTGACCACTGAGTGACCACAGTGACCACAGTGACCACTGAGTGACCACAGTGACCACTGAGTGACCACTGAGTGACCACTGAGTGACCACAGTGACCACAGTGACCACAGTGACCACAGTGACCACAGTGACCACTGAGTGACCACAGTGACCACAGTTACCACAGTGACCACTGAGTGACCACACAGTGACCACTGAGTGACCACAGTGACCACAGTTACCACAGTGACCACTGAGTGACCACAGTGACCACAGAGTGACCACTGAGTGACCACAGAGTGACCACAGTGACCACTGAGTGACCACAGTGACCACAGTGACCACTGAGTGACCACAGTGACCACAGTGACCACAGAGTGACCACAGTGACCACAGAGTGACCACAGTGACCACTGAGTGACCACTGAGTGACCAGAGGGAGGGGAGGAATGGGTCTTATGGTCACCATGGAGAGAAAGGTGGCCAAAGGCCATCAATGGTGGCCAAAGGTCATCAGTGGTCACCAAAGGTCATCAGAGGTGGCCATAGCAATGCTGGGGTGGCCAAAGGTCAACAGAGGTGACCAAAGTCCATCAGATATGGCCAAAGGTCAGCAATGGTGGCCAAAGGCCATCAATGGTGGCCAGAGGTCAGCAGAGGTCACCAGAGGTCACTGAAGGTCATCAGAGATCACTGAAGGTCATCAGAGATGGCCACAGGTCACCAGAGGTGACCGTAAAGGGTTTGGGGTGGCCAAAGGTCAGCAGAGGTCACCAATGGTCAGCGGTGGTGGGCAAAGGTCACCAGAGATCAGCCAAGGTCACCAAAGGCCATCAATGGTGGCCAAAGGTCATCAGAGGCCACCAAAGGTCAGCAAAGGTCACCAAAGGTCATCAATGGTGGCCAAAGGTCATCAGAGGCCACCAAAGGTCAGCAAAGGTCACCAAAGGTCATCAATGGTGGCCAAAGGTCATCAGAGGCCACCAAAGGTCAGCAAAGGTCACCAAAGGTCATCAATGGTGGCCAAAGGTCACCAGAGGTCATCAGAGGTGACCAAAGGTGGGCTGGGATGGCCAAAGGTCAGCAGAGGTGGCCAAAGGCCATCAAAGGTGGCCAGAGGTCAGCAGAGGTCACCGAAGGTCATCAGAGGTGGCCATAGTGGGGCTGGGGTGGCCAACGGTCAACAGAGGTGACCAAAGGTCACCAAAGGTCATCAGAGGTGGCCAAAGGCCATCAATGGTGGCCAGAGGTCAGCAGAGGTCACCAGAGGTCACTGAAGGTCATCAGAGATCACTGAAGGTCATCAGAGATGGCCACAGGTCAGCAGAGATGGCCATAAAGGGTTTGGGGTGGCCAAAGGTCATCAGAGGTCACCAAAGGTCATCAATGGTGACCAAAGGTCATCAAAGGTCACCAAAGGTCATCAATGGTGACCAAAGGTCATCAAAGGTCACCAAAGGTCAGCAGAGGTCACCAAAGTCCATCAGAGGTCACCAAAGGTCAGCAGAGGTCACCAAAGTCCATCAGAGGTCACCAATGGTCAGCAGAGGTGGCCAAAGGCAGGCTGAGATGGCCAAAGGTCAGCAGAAATTCCCAAAGGTCAGCAGAGGTCACTGAAGGTCATCAGAGGTCACCAGAGTCCATCAGAGATGGCCAAAGGTCAGCAGAGGTCACCAACGGTCATCAATGGTGGCCAAAGGTCAGCAGAGGTCACTGAAGGTCATCAGAGGTCACCAGAGTCCATCAGAGATAGCCAAAGGTCAGCAAAGATCACCAACGGTCATCAATGGTGGCCAAAGGTCAGCAGAGGTCACTGAAGGTCATCAGAGGTCACCGGAGTCCATCAGAGATGGCCAAAGGCCAGCAGAGCTGACCATAAGTGGTTTGGGGTGGTCAAAGGTCAGCAGAGGTCACCAAAGGTCAGCGGTGGTGGCCAGAGGTCAGCAGAGATGGCCAGAAGCCATCAGGGGTCACCAAAGGTCACCAAAGGTCATCAGAGGTCACCAAAACACAGGTGACACACAGGTGACACAGGTGACACAGGTGACACAGGTGACACAGATGACACAGGTGACACACACAGGTGACAGGTGACACAGGTGACACAGGT